ATGTGGAAGTTCATTCACACATACTGGCTGGTGTTGAGGGTTTCAGTGAGGAGCCGTCCTGTCAGTGCATGGTAGTCCACGCCAGCAAACAGCTGATTGAAGAACCGAGGATGACCTGTGAACGAGAAAAGGCTCTGGACCAGGATGCAACCACATATTCAAGATTTAGGAGGAACAAATGTACAAATTTCTGAATAAAACACTGAAAAAAACATATAGGCTAATATGAATAATTAGTGGGATTCGATCCCAGCACATGCAACATACAGGTTTTAACACTGTATCTGGCCACATCTCGAACCCTCTGCAGTAACTGCTTGTGAGATTCTCCATGCTCTCTGAGATCAAGGTCCAGAAGAGCTCTCAGCTGATCGGGATCTTTCCACTCACACACCTGTGAATGCAAATACATGCAGTTGATCTCCTGAGATACAAGATAAGATAGGAAGATGCAGAAGTTGTTAAATGGGATGATAAATTCTTGAAAGACTTAACCTTCTCCTTCAAGTCAGTTCCTTTGTGAAGTATCTCCTCCATAATCACATTGAAAGCCTCAGTAAGGAACAGCTTGCCATCTGACTCATACATGTCCGATTCTTCCAGATGGACATGGCCATTCATATATTCTGTGAGATACATATAAAAGTACGCATGTTACTAAATAAGCAAAAACAGCAAAAGCAATATGATAAAATAAACCAATGTTCAATAAATAATTCATTTTAATTTATTAACCACAGAAACAACTCTTCAGAAACTACTCCACATGATATAGGACTAAAACACTATGCAAAAAAAATGCAGCTATGCAACACTACTGTTTTTTTTGTTTTGTTTCATTTTGTTCCCTATTGTTTTGCATTTTGTTTTTATGTTTTTTTAAGTATAGAGCAAAACAAGTTTAAATAGGCTACTACAAAAACATTTTTAATTCTGTAAAACACGACGAAATATACTAAAATACTACGAAAAACCTAAAATTTCTTGCTTTTGTTTAATTCTATGAATTGTGTGTGTGTGTGTGTGTGTGTGTGTGTATATATATATATATTATATTATATATATATATACTTACATATATATATACACACACACATATACATACATATATATATATATATATATAATCAGCCTCATATCATAATAGCAACTTCATATCATCTTCACATGGTTTATGGAACATTGCAGCTGGTTTGTTACTGATCTGGTGATCAAGGTCGTCCAGAAGCACCCTGATCAAGATCTGAGAGGCTAATCCCGCCCCTACCAGCTGTTATTAAAACTGATCCATCATGTAGACCAGATTGGACCAGCCTAAAACCACCAGTCTAAACAGTAAAACAAAGATAACTCGCATGTGTGCATGATTAAATTATTTAATTTAAAAGACATGGATTATTTGTATACATTCCATTGCATACTGCATATATACATATATATAATTGATATAATTTTAAAAAGCAATCGACCGTAAACGCATAATCCCGCCCCTACCAGCTGTTATTAAAACTGATCCATCATGTAGACCAGATTGGACCAGCCTAAAACCACCAGTCTAAACAGTAAAACAAAGATAACTCGCATGTGTGCATGATTAAATTATTTAATTTAAAAGACATGGATTATTTGTATACATTCCATTGCATACTGCATATATATAATTGATATAATTTTAAAAAGCAATCGTTCTACTTCACCTGATGTCCCACTTTTGATTAACTCTAACTGGCTTTGGTTGCCAAGCAGCGCCGCAACTCCATGCATAATACGGAATTCAGCCGATGTGCACATCCAATCAGAAATCACAGTCAGTAAGCACTATAAATTCCATTGAAACAATCGCGATATTTTATGAGGAAAACGTTCAATTGCCATTCCCAACCCTGTATACCTGCAGTTTTTTCCTGCTTCTATAAGGCGAAACTTTTGCACGCACACAGTTCTCGTACAGTTACAGTATTACATGATCAGACTGAAATGCACGATTTAGTAAAAACTATGAAATTAGTGCATTTAAGGGAACTACATGCGTGCAATCAAAAACAAACTTCTCACCTTTAGATGAGCTCATTGTGATGTTTTATGTCCTTTCTGTACTCGGCACATGAAACTCTACTGTATCTGATGTGTTAAGGATGCCTCGAGACCCTCAGTGGTTCATTGCAAGATCCAGCCTTCATATACGTGGATGCACACGCCCGATTCGTCATTCAAGTGACATCCTATAATTGGATTAGAGTGATATGGGTGTCAACAAAAAATCAATCTTTAACTTAAAAAAATAGCTTTCTGAAGACCCAGGTGATATGAGGCTCTCAGCTGCATGCGACTGTGAAGTACATATTTGATTAACATCATTTCCAGCATTTTATTTTCTTAAAATGCTGAGAATATCTTACCATTGGATGGTTTTATTTGCAGGGTCCTGCATCTTAGTTGATAAGGGGGTAGATATATTTACTGTGCTAAAACTGACTCACACACAAGCAACCAGTAAGAATGATCGATACAACAACTTTACATGTTATATAATGACACACGATCATTTAGGTAATGCATGCTGCAAAACAGGGGTACAACGTTCAACATCTTCCAAACTCCGCAGCGTTGTTCTAAGTTCACATTAGACTGTTAGAGTTTGCTGATGAAAGAAAGATATATCCTTCCACGTATGTTTGTTAGATTGCACAATGATCCCCCACACACACATACTCTCTCTCTCTCACTCACTCGAAGAGTGGAATGGAATGTCACAGGGTTCAAAAAAGCCAGGACCAATGCAGGTCAGTTATCTTACAGAAAAAGTCTTTCCTATGGAAAAAGGTAACTGAATATTTGCATGTTAAGGCATTTTGCTGTCATCAAAAAATTATTCATTTGGAAAAATATTTTCCCCCAAAGAATTGGAAATTAAATGTTATAAGTAGTCTCATTATAATTTTTCTTCCTGCATTTTACAGTTTCATCCATGTTTGTACATAAGAAATCCTTCCTACATGTTCCAGGTTTTGGTTTACCAAAATCTATCAAATAAAACAATCAAAACTGAATCAATATGAAACTGAAAACGTACATGGACAACAAATGCAATTTAAAAATAAATAAATAAAATACAGAGATTCCGAATGAACAGATGAGTTGTAGATTTTCCATTCTTCACCATCCCTAACCCTAAAAAAAAAAAAAAAAACTCTCCGGGAGCCAGTTATTTATAGCTTAAGCCTATAAAACAATAAACACAAATCTGACAAATATCTAAATTATACAATAAAACAAGCTATAAAACAATAAAAAATAACCTCAAACTTTTATCATAATGACAGTTATGATTCATTTAGTTCTTTTTATTTATATTTATTTTACTTTTTTACAAATAACCCATCACCAGAAACATGATCAATCTGCAAAACAGAAATAAGACATAAAAGTACATAAAGTAACAAAACAGTGCAAAAAGGTACAAAAAAGTACAATAACAGAAAAAAAAGTAACATGAAATCCAATTCATGCAAGCATGATAACAAATTTGAAATGATTGTTTCCTCATCAGGTTGCAATCTATCAAATAAAACAAGTTTTATAATCCCACAGCAAAAGATTCCATGAAGTCTGGCAAGACTAGATGCTGTTTAATGACAGGCCTGTGTAATGGAATTATACAAAGCTCCGCCTCCAATCCTATCACCTGCTTGGCATGCAAAACAAGGGTGAACAAGGGTGAACAAGGGTGAAACACCAGGGTGAAAAAACACCAGGGTGAAACAACGTGATACTTGCCGAGAGAGCGAAGGTCGCCATTATGTTGCCAGATAGCGGTCTCTATTGGAACATAAAACTTTTTAAACTTCATTATCTGTTCATGGAATCAGTTCAAGTTGACTTTGATAAAAGCTTTCACATTCATTTACTTGAAAAGGAAAAGCATTATTCTGTAGAATACATTAAGATGGAATGCTACAATACAAATCGGGCAATTTGTACCATCAGAAAGCAAACACAAGCTGAAGTGCAATCTAAAAAGTAGGAATGGAACTTGATCTCACATGAAAAAATAAGCTTAAGAGAAAAACAATTAAGTAATAATGCCATAAAAAAAATAAAACATTGGAATAAAACAACGACATGGACAGTTAATTCAGTCTGGCCCCTTTTTGAAAAAAAAGTTTGCATTACAAATGTACATGCTTTACATAGTTTTTTAAAAATCTTTGCATATTTGATGATATTTGCAAAAAAAAAAGTTTGCACATCAAATTTAAGAAAAATATTTGAAATGCCCGCATTTTAGCTTCAACGACATGGACAGTTAATTCAGTCTGGCCCCTTTTTGAAAAAAAAGTTTGCATTACAAATGTACATGCTTTACATAGTTTTTTAAAAATCTTTGCATATTTGATAATGATATTTGCAAAAAAAAAAGTTTGCACATCAAATTTAAGAAAAATATTTTAAATGCCCGCATTTTAGCTCGGTGCGTTTGAAAGTTGCCCTATTATTTCAAGTATGTATCTGACTTATACATAGCATTTACTAAAAGAAAAAAAATACAAATATGAAAAAAAATTTTTATAGAAGTGACAAGCAGTTATAGTTCCCTCTAGTGGTATATTTGCATGTCTGCAAGTGCTACATGTATAAAAAGTGCTGCAGCTGTCAACTTCAAAACCCACAGGACTAATTCACCATGGGTTCCCTTGAGATTTTCATATGGGTTTTTATAATTGGATTTTTAAAGAGATAGTTCACCCAAAAATTCTGTCATCATTTACTCACAAAAGAAGATATTTTGAAGAATGCTGCTAACCAAATAGTTGACGGTAGCCATTGACTTCCATAGTATGCAAAAAAACATAATGGAAGTCAATGGCTACCGTCAACTGTGTGGTCACCAACATTCTTCAAAATATTTTCTTTTATGTTCAGCTGAAGAAAATAAACTCTAACAGGTTTGGAACAAGTGGAGGGTGAGTAAATGATCACAGAATTTTCATTTTTGGGTGAACTATCCCTTTAAATTCATGAGTAAAATAAGGTCAGTGGTATCACGATACTTGGACGTTTTGTTGTACAATGTAAACTGCATACACCCCAAACATTCTTATGTAGTCATTTATCACAAACCTACATTTTTAAAAATAAGCATAACTGCTTCAAAATTCATGGTTTAAGTATGGGTGTGTGTGTGTACTTCAGCATTAGCCATTTATATTTACCACAGACCTTGTTTTAATCATGACCCCATTATAAAAACCCATGAAATCTTGAGGGAACCCATGGTGAATTAGTCTTCCGGGTTTTGATGTTATGGCTCCAGCACCCAATTAAACTCCTCTTAGCAGCCTCAGTTGTCTTCCAACAGGAAGTTGAGTTTCAGAGTGTCCATGCCGTTCTCTTCTTGGGTTAGTAGAGAATGGAGACGAGCTGCCGTGGCTTGTTCCCTCTCACGCATGCTCCATTTTCGCAGCATGGTGAAAACCCGCATTTTGTGTTGGCTGTTGTCCTCCTCTATCTGCTGAAGAGTGGTGGTGTTCATACCCAGTGCCATAATGCCCACCTCCCTCCAGCTGTTCCCGATGCAGCCGGCCACCATCATCATCTCCTTCTCGCTCACCATCCTGGAGTCTGAGAAAAAGCAAAGTTACGTAATGAAGCAGTGCTGTCATGAAGCTGCTACTGAAGAAGATGCAAAGCAGAGGTGTGTATGTGACTCACGCAGCGGCTCGTTTTCCATTTCCTGTCGTCGTTTTGCTGTCGTCTCTGATAAACCAAAATCATTTACAAATTACAAATCTATTACTGCATGTACTAGAAAGTTTGAAGGCAATGGGGTGAAATAAATAATATATACAAAGTGTACTATTAGGATCTTTTTTTTTTTTTGCATTGTGACCATTATCAAGATCTACATTACTTAGTCATTTTACAAAAACAGTACACTAGAAAAAATACTGTTTTTACTGTACCTTCTGATCACATTGCAAATAAATAAATAAATAAAAAATGATGTTTTTAATCAGTATTTTTGTCTTGTTTCCCAGTGCAAAAGTCTAAAGATTCTTAAAGCAAGATACATTTACTCTAAAAGAAAAATGACATAAGCCTTGTTTTATGAGAAACAGATCAAAATGAAGTGAGTTTATGATTAAAATAAGAACAAATATAATTGGCTCTACTTAATTCAATAGGGAAAACAAGTTTTCATTCCCCTATTGAGAGATAAATATTCTTCTTTTAAACAAACTCACTTAATTTTGTTCAATTTGACTTCATATGTTCAGTTTGTACCTCAAGTAAATGTATCTTGAGTTGATGTGTAGATGTTTGTACTTGTTTGGAAAACACAAAGACTTTATGAATTTAAGATTTTCTGCTCTGACCTTAATTTGTAGAAGGGCAAATTAAGACTTTTAAAGACCCGCAGAAACGCTATCATTTATATAGTGCTTTATACATGACAGAATGTTTCAAAGAAGCTTCACATTAAAAAATTCACCAATTATGAAACAAATTGATTTTAAACGGAATTTAAATTAAATTAAAGCAGCTCTACAGATTTTCAGGACAATTAAGCTTGTTATATCCTCCAATTTTCATTCATGTAATGCAAGATACAGTTTAATTCTCATTACTGTAACAATAAAATTTAGCCTATGTTATCTTTCTCTTCCAGTATTTATACATTATGGTAGCATTTATCGCATGTAATTATTTATAAGTTAAATGATTTGACTTTTCAAAATGTATTGCAACTATATTTTATTTTATTTTTTTAACTGTAAGACAGTAAAAAATTACTATTACTGTAATGAAAGCCAACATTAAAAATTAAAAAGTTACAATGATGAGAATAATATGCATAAAAGTCACAATGCCAAAATTCTAGGGGTGTTAATGGTAGACAATGGATGATTTACAATGGCTGAGTGTAAGATCATACCTGTGTTTTTTGGTGTCTTGCGTTTGTTGATTTGCAGCTTTTGAAGGAAATGCAGTTTAGGAAATGTCTCTTGCATGTCTTGTGTTTTCAGCAACTTCAGGAAATTCAGAGCATGCTTGTTGTCTTTGTGAATCACATAATCCAAGATGTCCCGTACCTGTTTCGAACGCATGTTCATGTCTTTGATGTTGTTGTACTCATTGTTGGACAGTATGCCACTGGCATGGCAGCGCTGAAGCAGAATATCTGGATCTCCTGTCAGAGCCTCCAGTAGCTCTGTCTTGAGTCTCCGAATGAGCTTGATGCCATCTACAGGCCCATCCATCGCCTCTTGTGCTTGGTCAGTGATGTGAAAACCTTGATTTGACACTGGTTTTCAAACCAAAATTAAGGCTGTAATAAAATCAGAAATTAAAATTGTTTTAAACAATAAAAATATAAATAAAGGCGCTTGACGACTAAAACAAAACAGCATATAGCGTGTAATAAAATACTTAGTATTTTGGCTAGAACTTAAGCAGCAATATAAAGAACAGATCAACAGATGAGACTGTAGCTGAAGCAGTGTTGCCAGACGTACGATAATTATCGTATTTGTACGATAATTTTGATCTCTGTACGATGGATGGTGGTGGAGTTTGGACCTTCCCGCAAGGAAATAGAACATTTCATAAGACCCTAAACATGTAATTTTTGTTAAACTTTTTAATAGATTTGATGTTGAATTGTATACGTTTCATTATTTAATTAGACGTGCTTTTGATTAATAAAATTTAATTTAACCATTTAAAAAGGAGTCCAAAAAAATTAAAATGGAAAAAAAAAACAGAATAAAAAAAAATTTAATTTAATTTAACCATTTAAAAAGGAGTCCAGAAAAATTAAAATGGAAAAAAAAAAACAGAATAAAAAAAAATGTAAATTTGGAATAAAAAAAAAATTGGAATTTAGGAAAAAATAACAGTGTTGCCAGACGTACGATAATTATCGTATTTGTACGATAATTTTGATCTCTGTACGATGGATGGTGGTGGAGTTTGGACCTTCCCGCAAGGTACGCCTATGGCCCTATTATTTCCGCGATGCGGAAAACATGGATGGAATTGTGGAATCCAGTCAACAGAATTTACTGTATAACGCGGAATGATTTTCATTAATTAAAAGATAAATTAAATTAATGTGTTATGCCTTTATTCGATAACCAGAACAATTAAAATACACAATGCATAATTTCTAAAGAACGATCATTTTCTTCCAAATACGATAATTTTGAGCTTCTGGTACGATACTTGGACATTTCCAATCTGGCAACACTGAGCTGAAGCATCATGGGTGCATCCGAGATGAAGGAAGTATCTTCTTCATGATCCCTCCCACTGACGAGTTGTTTTTAAAAACTGCACATGCTCTTTGTTATCACTTTCAAATTATGAAATATATATAGCGGATAGATTTGAAGAATATATGCGTGTGCCGACAATACACCAATTAATTCGTGTTTATTTTATTGTTGGTGTATACGTGTATATGGCGCATCTTTCTATGCATTATCCGCCAGGGACTTTCCAGTTTAGTGGCCCACTACTAGAGATGCGTCATCTTTGTTTACTTTCAATAAACGACTATGGCGCACAATTTAATACATTTGTACGTTGGTTTGGTTTGTTCAGGAATAATACAATATTCAGCCACAATTACTAGTATATATATATATATATATATATATATATATATATATATATC